GATTCTATGTTATTATCTGATATATATTGCTTTCTATTTTGAGTTGGACGATGATACCTACTCAGTATTTGTGCTTATACTGACCCCTACTTGTATGTTTCCCTCTTTGTTATCTGTGGAGTGCAGCAAACGTGCCATCAACTTCGACTCAACCGCAACTCTAGCTAGACTTCAGCATAATCAGATTTCAGGGTGAGCTATTGTTCCTAGCTCAGACTGGATTCTCTCTCATTCATGTCTTGATGTCCTTGAAGTTCGGACATGGACCATCTGTTTACTTATTTTAGCTTCTTAGATACTCTTAGATTTAGTAATTTGAGGATAGATGTTCTTGTGATGATGACTTCCAGGTTTTGGGGATAGTAATTGATAAACTTTAGAAGTTATTTAATTGATTTCATTAATGAGTTTTAAGTCTTCCGCAATTTATTCTGTTTATTATGGTTGAAATGTTGGAGTTTAGATTGGTTGGTTCGCTCACATAATAGGATAAGTGTGGGTGCCACTCATGACTCGTTTTGGATTGTGACAAAAATTCGCCTTAATCTTCTACTCGCTATATTATTTTACTCTCCTCCAATCATCACATCGTATTTATATAATAATTTTCTTACAAGCCAATTTAATCACCTACATTTATAAGCGAGAGAAAAGAAGAAGAAATCTCATGCATATCACCATAATATATGCACCCTCTAAGATATTATGATTACTATTATTATTATTTTCCTTACCATAACTACACAAGACAATTACAATACAATTTTAATCCACAAAAACTTATAAATTTATAACACACTAAAGTCAATTTTCTTTTATGTAACATGTCAATCGCTTCTAAAATGTTGCAGGCAGCAACATCATATTGCCGACACTTAGTCACAATTTTCCCATATCCCTTTTCCCATTTAATTAGTATAATATTCAATCATGGCTAAAATATCAATATATATATCCCTATCATCAATACATATGTATAGCGCAATATTAAGCTTGTCGAGTTTTACCTGAAGGCCCAATTTACGAACTTCTTTGCAACCCTTCTGCCCCTCGATTTTCTTACTTCCCTGTAGAGATTAATTGTACCCTAATTTCTATATAGGACTAATTATATAAATAGTGAAAGTGGCCATCACTAATTGTTAGATTATTTTCTTTAACCACTAATTAAATTAATTATTTAAACTATCCTCTTAATTTCATAATTATAATTATGACTAGTCCTAAATTCCTATTTAAAATTTATTGAAAAGTATTTTATGAAATAAAAGCTCTAGAACTCAAAACGGTCATAAGGCTTGTTACACTAGCAAAGGAGAATATGATTAATTTCATCTAATATTGATATTCATGCTACAATAAAATGTCTTTTCAGCCAATAATATTATTTTAATTTTTCGTAAATTATTGAAACACCCTCTAAAGTACCCAACACTTCAACTAACCTTTTAAAGAACATAAAGTCTAAATGTTTATTTGAAATATAGATGGTGTATTTAAAATAGAGTAATTAGACGTTTGGTCATGCAATATCATATCACAATATAGTGTTGTGAGATAAAATCAGCGTTTGGACAATATTTAATCTCATGATTTCATATTCTGAGATGTGATTTCAAATTGTTCAAAAAGCATGATATGAAATTACATTTTGATTATATTGTTGGGTTTTATTTGCCCTAAATTTCTTACCATAAATAGGTTTTTCTTGTAGAAAAATGTTTTGGATTGACTAATCCTTTTCTTGTAGGAAAAGGTTTAGGACTCTATAAATAGAGACATGTTCCTTCTAACTTAATTAACATTCACAATGTAGTCTTAAAGGGCTTTGAGAGTTTTGGTTAGGGGGAGAATTTATGGGTCACAAGCTGGAGACGTTATCACTTGTGTGAACCTCCCATGTATTCTGAGTGAATTGGTTGAGGTTGTTTCTCTCTATATTTTGTACTCTCATATTTATAGTGGATTGCTCATCTCCTTTGTGGATGTAGGTCGATTTACCGAACCACGTTATATCTTTGTGTCTTTTAATATATTTCTCGTTGTCTTCTTACTCGTGGTCTTTTGAGGTTTGCGTTGCTAGCTTCCGCGTTTACACCTGTTTATTTTTCGGTCCTAAGAAGTGGTATCAGAGCCAGATTCAATGACGGAGTCAGGTTCAGTGGTTCGATGATCGATGATTGAACCAGGTTAGAAAGATGTGTTCATCTTGGCGGTGTAGTTCTAGCAGTAACCTTTTTGACAGTAATGAAGATTTTGTTGGAGAAATTGTTTTAGAGAGGTTCTCTATGTTGAGACATAAATTTTGCAAAGGAGATTATGAAGAGGAGAAGCAAGTTGTTGAAGATTAAGTCAAAAAGGTGGAAAAATTTATTTTGTCAGAAATTCAGGCCAAGGGAGAGATTTGTTAGGTTTTATTTGCCCTATATTTCTTACCATAAATAGGTTTTCCTTATAGGAAAAGGTTTTGGATTGACTAATCCTTTTCTTGTAGGAAAAGGTTTAGGACTCTATAAATAGAGGCATGTTCCTTCTAACTTAATTAGCATCCACAATCATATCTACTAACTATTTATTCATATGTAAATAAAATTTATAATCACATTATTACTTTTTAAAATTTGTTATTCTCACCAACATATAGTCCACTTTAACTCATACGAACTGATTGTTAAAGTGATGAATATTTATAGTCTATAAACATGAAAAATATAGTTGCGGATTATATTGACCAACAAATGGCTCAAAGTAACAATGTTGGTTCGTCTTATCAGCCACATGATTAAGAAATGCAAGTTCAAGTTGAGGAAATTGTTCGTACTATGCGGGAGGATTATATTAAAAATTAATTTACTATAATTTATGCTCAATTTTTTTTATTAAATCTAGATGAAACAATTACTTAATTGGAGATTAAATACCTATTACAAATTTACTATGCGATTTTATAATTTTTTATTTGATAAAATTGAATAAATAATTGGGGATAGTTTAATAATTTTACAACTTGTGGAATTTTTATGTTTATGAGAAAATATACAACACAAAAATTCCATATCACATGTCCAAACAAAACTTCTAATTTCATCTTATGATTTCATATCATGATACCATATCAGAATTCCATATCATGATACCATATCACATGGCCAAACTGGGAGTCAGGGACGGTTCAACGTAATTGGGGATCTAAAGCGAAATTTCAATTCGCGGCCTAAAATATAAATGTACTTCATATACGTATTTATTAAAAAAATTACACTATTAAGATGAAAATTATTAGTACTTAATATTATTTTTTCGAATACTAATTTTAGGTAAGATTTTATCAACTCAAGATTGAAAAATATCTTTAAGTGAAGCAATTATTATATGTATTTTTAACATAATGAATTAATGATACAAGTAATAAGTTGATAAATATTAAATAAATAAAAGAGTTAAAATCATAGAATTTAACTCAAAAAGTTGGTGACTTGGTATAACCTTCATAAATAATTAATTTTTCTACAAAATTTTAACACATAATTTATTCTTAACAAAAATTTAGAACCCTAAAATTTAAAAGCCTAAAACAAACGCCTTATTTTTTAATGCAGTGAGCCGGCCCTGCCGGGAGTGTCAAAAATTTAGCACAAGAGTACTAAATTGTGGTAAAAATAATATCACTGAATCCGATAATGGAGAGAACTGAACTAAATGGAATTAAATGCCTGAATAAATTAAATTCCAAGGGCTTCACATGTAGCCCTCCAAGCGCAACTCCAAAATTGGAGTTAAACATTTTAAAACGTTATTTAATTTTGAAATTTATTCGATAAAATTATTAAATTTTATTATATATCAATAATATCACTCAATTTATACATTTATACAATAAATTACTTAATTAATTTTATTATTAAAATAATAAATTGACATGACAGAATGAATAGGAGGAATTAATTTTAGAATAATTTTTAAGCAATTTTTATTTTGTTTTTTGATTGCAAAGATTGAGATAAATTATTTTTTCTTGGAGTAGAATAATAATCCAAAGATAACTTATCTTAGAATAAAGTATGTAAAATAATAAAAATACCCTCCCCCTCCCCCGTCCCTCAAACTCTCTTTTGTAGTCCATTCACCAATATTAACATAATTTTTAACAACATATATAATAACATTCACGACCTTAATTTTGTTGTTCTTATGACCATATGTTTTTCTATTAAAAATTTACATTTTATAAATACAATTTTTATTTATAAATACATTATAAGTTGAATTTATTTGCCTAATTCTTCTGTCAATTTATATTTTGATTTCTCTTAAATGTTCATTCCACTACTAAATTATATATTTTTAATTAAATATTTTAATACTCACTTAAAAATTACTCCATCTTTTATGTATTAATTAAAATGTAGATTACTTTTAGTAATAAAATTTATGTTACTTTAATAACTTAGAATGGAAGTTCCATTTTTGAACTCAATAAAATGAAAATTTTATTTTTAAGAATAAATATCTAAAGCTTGAAAATTTTATTTTTAAGAATAAATATCTAAAGCTTGCAAAGAAAATACTCTTTTCCTCTCTTTTAATTACTTGTTCACTTTTCTTTTTTTTAGTTATTCCTAAATATTTGTCTATGTTGATAAATTAAGAAATGACAATTTTTTTTTCACTTATCATACCCTCAATTGATTAGTTTGAAAAAGGTAAGACTTTTTTAGAAATTATAAATTTTTAATGCATTTACTTCATAATTAATAAAGATAAAATAATAAACTCACTAAGTTAATAATTATTTTTTTAATAAATGTGCTAAATTAAGAGTAATTAGAGACAGGAGATAATATATATATACAAAAAGAAAAACTCAATATGTGAAGCGATATTTTGGTAAACTATTAAGTTTGTAGAATTAAACTTTGGTTGTGTACCAGTGTCCTGGTTGTACTTGATTATTTAAACTGGACTATAAATGAGCAAAGTACAAGAATTCTATATATATATATATTATACTAATAATGATAATAATGGAGTTTAAGTAATAAGGACTTGTATTTTGCTCAAAATATTGCATGAGAAGTGCAAAGCATGGCTAATTAATTAAGAAGAGAAAACGTACATAATAAAATTTATTTCAAAGTGAAGATTTTTTGAGAGCACAACGCTTGATCTCGTGAATCAACCCCATGAGCTGTGCATGAGAGGAACCACCTTCTTCCGTGGCAACTTTGAGTTTCTTTGCCATCAACTTTGCATTTTCTCTAATATTTCTACTTTCCTCTGAATTATTGATCAAACGCTTGACCGCCAACTCTATCTTCTCTCCTGAGAGTGATGGACATGATAATATAAACCCCGGATTCCACACATCTGCTCCAATTCCAATAGCAAGGCCAAGTTTCTCCAAAAGCTTGTCCGTATAGAAATTGTCTGAGAAAAGTGGCCATGTGATCAATGGAACACCTACGGATAGAGATTCAAGTATAGAGTTCCAACCACAATGAGTTAAGAATCCACCAATCGCTCCATGTTTCAGGATTGATACTTGTGGTGCCCAGCCTTCGATGATAAACATATTTTCCCCTTTCATTTCTTTCAAACGTTTAGAACAGAAGCCATTTTTGTCCTGCTCCTTGAAAACCCAAATAGTTGGACAGTTTGCAGCCTTTAATCCAACAGCCATTTCCTTAAGCTGATCGTCCGAAAACCTGATCATGCTTCCAAAGCAAACAAACAGAACAGATTTAGATTGTTGATTTTCAAGCCAATCGAAACAATCACCGTACCCTTTCCAAGGGTCACAACATGAATTTTCGGCTTCATAGTTGTTGATAAACAGAGCAACTGGACCTATATGCCACCCTTTGACTCCTCTAGCTTTTTCGTAGAGTTGGGCAAACCCAGGTTCCAGCTCAGAGCAAGTGTTGTGAATAATACCATGGCTACGTATCTCAGCTTGTAAAACATCCTCCACTGTCTTTCTGTACTCAGTTTCCCCTTTAAGAAAATCTTCAATCTCCGAGACTTTCATTTGGATGTCCAGAGGCAAACCAGGAATCGAAAAACTCACATGATTCTCGTAAGGTTTTAATTCCCTGATGAAAACCCAAGCACATTGATGAACGAAAGTGCCTGGTTGAAAAGAGAATCTTGGAATTTGCAGCTCCTCAGCTAAATCGACAGTCCAAGGGAAGAACATATCGGAAATTATGCAGTTTGGGTTGAGCTCCCGAATCATTTGCTCCATAGGCTTTTGGAGCAGAAGAAACCCATAGTGAACTTTGCCAACTATTTCCATAGAAGGGCTTGCGATGAAGTTTTCAATTCCCACAGGTAATCCAATTTCCTCTGACGGAAATTGAATTGTCCGGACACTAATATTACTGCCCCAAAACAGACAGTCTCTGTCGACAGAGGACTGAAAAAGAAGGGCATTATGTGGAGGGGCAATGATCGTAACTTTGAGGCCATGGAAGGCCAAGAGTCTAGCAATATGCACCAATGGAGTTATATGACTCGTCATGGCGTATGGTATGAAAACAACATGCGCTATTGCACTTTGTTCATTCTCTTCCATCGCCATTTTCACTACATTTGAACTTGTTCCTTCACTTCAATTTATAATACAGTACTCCCTCCTATTTTCAGAGTTAAATTATAAAAAATTTGATTAATATTTTTTCATCATATTAATATGCAAAAAATTATAATTTATAATACGTTTTAGAATATCTATTTTTTTTTGTTTAAAATATTGAATTAATATGACCTAATTTAACTTTAAAAGTTAATCAAATTGAATTTTGAAAAGCACAACATGACAAACAATATCGGACGGATGAAGTAATAACTATAATGAGCCCGAGCAAAATAGAACTTTTCTTATGATGTTATAGCATTTTTATATAAATTTATTTTCAAGAGGGTACAATTTATTCAATTGTCGTTTACCATTTATTTGTGGCAAACTTACATAAATATACTATATTAAGAAAATATTTATCATCTAGAGCAACAATATTTTTTTTAAATTTGATCACTTTTAATATATTTATGATACAGTTTTAATAACATATTACAAAGAACAATTTATTATTCAGATATAATACAAATTTTATTAATAATAAATACATTTATCACACATTCTAATATGCTTATAATACATTTATCAAACTTTAAACCCAGTTATTTATCATTTCTTTCTTTAATAATGAACTGTACTAATAATAACACAATAGAAATATGATACGCATCATTATATATACGGAAAAGGGTCTAAAATACCCTGAAAGTATTGAAAATGGTACAAAATTACCCCTCATCCACCTATTGGCTCCAAAATGCCCTTTTCATCCACCTATTGGCTCCAAAATACCCCTGTCATCCACCTTTGAGTTCAAAATTGACCACTTATTTGATGATTTTAAATTTAAACTATTTAAATATTTTTAAAATACTTGATGTTCAACTATTTGTTATAATTTAATTTATTTGTATTATTTATAAACCAACCCACTACCCACCCATTACTAACTAAATCCCACCCAATTAATAATTCAACTATAATATCAAAATCGTCATAAACACTACTAAAACACGGCGAAATTATAGATTAATGAAAATGACATCCAAAATTATTCGAGTCCGAATCAAAGTCCCAATTAAATTTATGTTGAGCCGCTTATTAAGGAGGACACTTTCAATTTGATTCTCTTTCAAGATTGAATCAGAAATTTATGATTAAAGGTAAAGAAGTAGTACATCCCGAATTAATTCATGCACTTTTTTAAAATATAATTTTATAAATATTTATGATTTGTTTTAAAACTTTTAATATATTATTTTGAAAAAAAGTTACCTATGAAGTAACATCACATAATTGGGACGTAAAAATAATTAAGATGAACATAGTCAGACTTTTAAGTTTATCGATAATTTTTATTTAGACACTTGAATGTATGATTGTCGCGCCCCATTTTCGCAGAAAACGGGTTTTGTGCACGACCTAACAACTCTTTTGGGATTTTGAGTTTGGGAGTCGCCACCTAACGAATTAAGGCGCGTTAGGGCACCTATCTAACCTAACTAAGTCTAACTAAGGTCAACGAGTCAGAGAATTAGGGTAAGGGTTCAAATTACCTCGAGGGGAAGGTGTTAGGCATCCCTCGAGGTCCACAAGTGTGGGTCCCGGCCGTATCTCATGCAATCTATGTGGGGGTTACAAGTAGCAATCAAGGTCACTTCATTATTATTCATTAATATGCTTGCTAAGTGATAACAAGTATAAAACAATTAAGGCTATTTTATTAATTTAAACATGCGAGGCTAGAAGACAGCAATAATAAATAACCAAATTTATTTTATTTTATTTATTTAACATACGAGGCTATGTTATAGACAAAATTGGTAAATATTAAGCAATTAATATGTGCGAAAATAAAGTTTGAAAATTGAGCAAGTTTGAATATGTAATTTTATTTTTAAAAAAATGTTTGTTTCTTTATAGGGACGATGCCACGATATTGTTGATCGCACTCCTCCACCATAGAAACAATTTTGATTTGAGGTCGGTCTTAAAAAAACAATAGTTTATATTTTGAAAAAAAATGATTTAAAAGATCTAGTTTACATGTAGGCACATAAATATTTACATATAAATGCACATAATTCCTTTTGAAATTAGTGGGTAGGTGGTACTTCCGGGGACGCGTCGGGTTTAAAAATTAGAACTAGACCTCGTAGTTCCTTTGACTTTCCCACTAACGATAGGTTAGGAGATAGTGCTTATAATTTATTTTCAAAACAAACAATGTCAAAATCAATCCAAAGTTTTAAAAGAAGATTGAATAATGACTTTTTAAGAAAATTATGTTACAAGGTTTTGATATGAAATATTTTTAAAGCGAAGTTAAATGCATGAAATGATTCTAAATTAGTATTATTAAAAAAAC